GTTCATTTGCGGATAAAAATGGCTGTGTATACGCGGTCGTCACTCAAAAACTCTTTGGCCCCATAGCATTGACTTACAAATATATGGACGACGGGTCTAATACAAAAACCACGAAAAAATGTCCCAAGTCAACCTATTTAAACGTAGTGACATGTAAAGGAATATGAAAAAGCTAAAACGTTGAATTTAAATTGTAATATCAACGTAGTATCGCGCTGTCAGTCGAACAAATGAAGACTAAAGCGGAGTTTGACGCTCTGTATACGATTTTAACGCCTTACAAGTTCGGACACTTTTTAGCGCGGACCCGACGTCCATATAATTGTAAGTCAATGCCCCATAGGCTATATTGTTCTTTTGCGGATAAAAAATGCTGTGTATACGCGATCGTAACTCAAGAACTCTTTGACCCCATCGACTATCTTGTTCTTTTGAGTTCGTCCAAGGAAGTACTGCCACCTTACCTATTTGTGCGATTATTATAGCGTTCCTGTTTTGAAGGGTAAGTGTGCTGGTGAATTTACCGGCACTTGTCTATATATGTGTCAGAGTGACAGGTGCAATGGCCGTGTCTCAGAGCTTTGCGATTTAAAGCTCTGAGTGGTATATACTGCAGCTGCTATGGAGAGGCGTGTGGCTTAACACCAGGTACACAACTTGTTCATACCATCACTTGTTACCATAAACAAAATATTTTAGAGCTGTAAATTTTATAAGATCTAAGATTGCTCTGAGAACAACTTATAGAGTTTAAAGTCGTGGTCATTTGGTTAATTGATGACCATAATAGCTCTCTTAAATTACAGCGTCGATTTAGTAGACTCTCTAGCTCTATATTACAGAAGTAAAATAAAAGAATACAGTGCGATGGTTAAAAGTTTATTTCTTTCTGTTTTGTGTTTACTTATTATTGTATTTTTTCAGTAACATCCACAGGGAGCAGCTTTGAACGAGGGAGCAGGGTAAGCACGGGGACCAAAGGCTTTTGGTCCAAAAGCAGAGCCGTAGCCGGCGCTGTAGCCCGCAGCGTCGATGCCAGCAGCGGCGATGCTGTCGCTATCGATACCCACCAGTTCATTTCCGCAGCTGTAGGTGGCTCCAGCTGAACCGCTGGTTGGTAACGAGCCCTCTAGAGCGACGGCGGCGAGTACTGGGAGGCTACCGGACGCATCAAGCATGCCTGATATGTCGTTTTCGGACAGCACGGTGAGACCGCTAGGTGCGTAGAGGGAGGAGGAGATCACACCGAAGCCGCCGCCGCTAGCAGATGCCAAGTTAGATCCGATGATGTTGCTGTAGTCACCCGCGCTGCAGCTGGGAGCCCAGGCGATGGGGGCCGGCGCTGGTTTCCACGCATCCCAAGCAGGGGCACGTGAGCACTCAGCAGAGATGGTCTGTACAAAGCATAATATCACGTAAGATGACGGGTAACATACTAAACATAACAGAAGTATTATTTAAAAAAAAAATTATGAAATATTTTTTGTAATTCTTGACATGTAGATGTATTTTGTTTTTGTAACTTTTGACACATTTTTTTTTTCTAATTATTTAATTTTTATTTTTATTATTATTTTAATTCTTGACATACTTAATCTGTGAAAATTGTGACTTATTTATTTAAAATTGTAATAGTCAGTCAAGATAATATTGTTAGACATTTGCATGCTATCGGATATGCGAAACATGTTTGCACTGGTTTTCCTTTTTTTTTTGCTACAACTTTTATACCATATTTGAAGCAAATAAACAATTTGAATTTGAATTTGATCAAAGTCTAAGTTGCACATGCGAACGTCAAAGGAAAAATTTTCTAAGAAATAATACGGGCGATTCGCATACCAGAGCACTACACAGACACTGTATACGTACACAGATGGTTTGTACAAAACATAATATTACGTCAAATGACGGCTATTACGGATCACAGTATTGCATATGCGAATACAAAAGAAAAACGGGACATAGGAAATATTCAAACAAGTAATTCACATAGCAATGAACATACCTGGACGAAAAGCGCAGAAGCGCACAAAACAATCATGGATACGGACGACATTGTAGTGGACTTTGCGAGGACTGACTCGAGAATGATGACTTGCTTTACGAGTGAAGCTTTTATACAAATCAATAACATGACAGAATGTAATTGACCAAGCTAGTGGCAATAACATACGCAATTAATTGGTTGGCAAATAAAATACTGAGTTCAATTTCAATATTGTGTAAAATAGATAGGGCAAATCATGATAAGAAAGTAGCGAAAGTTAATAAAACATGAGTGCAATCAACTGAATTTCGTAAGACTAAGAATGCGAGCTATAAAAGGTTCAATAACGCTATTTGACATTATTCTTTCTTCAGCAATTCGTTGAATACTAGCTAAAAAATGAACGCCTTTGCTTTCTTGTTGCTCTGCGCCCAGGCTTGCCTTATCCAGGTAAGGCTCTTGCACTTTTCTTTTGTATTTTTTTATTTGTTTTTTTTTATGTGTTTTTTATTTGTGTACCTCACAAGATACTAAGATACTCTTTGTACTATGTCTATGATGCGCTCACTCTACATACCCTTTTCTCCAGTTGTTAGTGCTCTGCTACTTTGTCGACTTATACAAAGATGTATTTTTGCAAGTGACAGCCAACAATACAATTTTGAATTCGTCTAAAATTTCCTTAATAATACAGAAAGGTTTTTAATTTTAATTTCAGGCGGTGTACACCAAGTGCGGTCTTGATTACGCTCCTGCAGCCGAAGCAGCTGAAGCTGCTGCCGCTGCGGCTAACGCTGCCGCTGCCGCCAACGCTGCCGCTGTTGCTAACGCTGCGGCCAGAGATGCTCGTTGGGGCTCTGGCTGGGCTGGCCCTGCAGCATACGCTCCCGCACCATACAGCGGCCACGGCGCCGGTAACGTGGCAGTAGCGGGCGAACTCGGGGTAGCCGGCTCCACACTTGTCGCTGGCCAGGTTCCGGTGCTCGGCGCCGTCAAGTTCAACGGACAAGTGCCAGCATCTGGCGCTGTCACCATCTCCGGATCTTGCGGATGCGGATGCGAATACTAAGATCTTAATTTGGTAGACTATCAGACAAAATATACTTTGATAATAGCATTTGTGTTCTTTCGTTTGTCTTATTATTATAACGCACATAGACAACCACAAATTACATCCAAACTCACGGTAACCGTTCGGCCACGGAGGCAGTTTCATTACGGTTTATGGAAAACTTTTTATCACGCAGTTTCGACATTCTCGATCTGTGGCTGTAGCCTGAGTATAGCTGCGTTCCAGTTATGAATATTATGGGGTGCTAGTGAAATTACAGGCACATGGGACTTGTCAACATAAGTCTCAGAGTGGCAATGGCAAGTAGTGGCAGTACCCCTCAGTTCTTTGCGATCTAAAGCTCTAAGTGGCAATGCAACTGTCATGGATAGGCGTAACGCTTACACTGTCTGTCACTAGGTATCATAAAAGAAATTATATCTAAAGAAAATATTTTTTATTATTATTAGGTTTAGATATGTGGTACATTCCAATCAAAAGTATCCTTTGTAAAACCAAAGGGCCAAGTGCTCAAAAAATAAGTTAGCACGAACTACGAACCACTAACCCTGAGAGCCCTCAGGACGTGACGACAGATAGTCGTTTAAAGTGACTTGTATATTTAAATTAAGATATAAAAACACGATTAACTGTCGTTTACGTCTTTTTTGACGTTATGACGGCAGATTGTCGTGTCAATGGGAAGAGCTAGAATGACATTTAATCGCAGCTTCAAACGATTGTCTTGTAAACGATAAAACGGCTGCCGTGAACCGATAAATTTTCGTCATGATTTAGAGGGAACAGCTAGACACGACAGATTTGTGACGATCAAATAAACGGCCACGACACAGTCACGACAGATAGTCGTGATGTGGGAACAGGCTAGATGCGACAGCCACCCAACGATAAATAGAACCTTACGACGTAAACGAAACGAGCCTTTAGCGAGTTTAAAATTAATATTACCGATGTCCGGAATCTACAAACGACCTAAACACTTTAATAGCGCATTTCAGGCAACTATACATAATTAAATGCTTAAACTAATTATATAACAACAACAACGCACACACTCAACATAGCCCCGCACTAGGGAAACCCTGTGTCGCGGGTGCCATGGACACACACATAGACAACCATAAAGTACACCCATACTCACGAGAGAAATAAATGTAGGTCATACAAATTATTTCTCCCGGCCCGGGAATCGAACCTGGGACCTCTGCGTGGCAGTAACCGTTCACGGCATGGTAACCGTTCGGCCACGGAGGCAGTTGATTAATTCTATGTTATGGAACAGTGCGTTTTTAACCGAAACAAAACTTGTTCACTGTTTTTAGGTACAAATACTATACTACTACAAAATAAACGTGGTTCCGTCCAAAAAAGATCACGAAACACGTCCTTGGTTTTGGGTGACTATCAAAAGGCTCACAGAATCCATTCAGTGAATAACAAACTTAAAGCACTGATAATTAAATTTTAGAATTAAAAGTGATGAACAATTAAGTTAAGTATCAAAAGATTAAAAGATGTTTTGTAAAAAAAAAATACTTTTTCAATTACTACGAATTTTTTTATCACTAAGTTTATTTCTGTTGTCTATTCAGAATCGGCCTAGACAAATTGATGCTTACAAAATAAACAAAATACTGCATTAATTCATTAACGTTTAATTGAAATCCCTTACACACATTCTTAAGACTGTATTTTAAACATGGTATCAACGACATTTACAATCTGGGAACGAAATATTAATCATTGTCACATGTTACATAGTCCCTGGGTCTTTTCAGTGGTCTAACAATTTGGCTAATTATCAAGGTATATCATCAAAGTGCGTAATTAGGTTTTGCACGCGAGTTCAAAGCGAAGACAGTGTTTTGTTTACCATTAAGTATGTTTTGGTCAAACCTCGTCAGATCTTTTCGGTTACGCTGTGAAATTGGTAAGCGATGACTAATTAATTAAAACAATCAGTTACAGCATCAGGAAGGGTCCCATTGCAAATAGCATGTAATTTGCTTCGTACCTCAACATATTGCACAGTAGTGTGGTTTCGTAAGAAAATGTCCATTCGGTGGTTAAAAAGACGAGTTGTCACTGAAAAGCCTATTTCTTGAGTTTTATTGCAGACGCTCTAGATACGTAAGTATTAATTTTTGTTCAATTAGCGCTTTATTGGTTTTTCAAAATAATCAAAGCTCGCGAAAACTTGAAGCAAAGTTACGGACGACCGGAACAGGAAAAGACAACTTTGCGGAATCTAAGAGTGAAACTGGAATAAAATCCAGTTACACGGAAAGTCGTAATAAAATTTAAATATCATGGTCACATACTAAGTGATGATTTAATTTGTTGACCAAGATTATAGAAAGGGAGCGTGGGGCGTTGTCAGAGAGATGCAAATGCTGGCCCGCATGTTCGGGAGATGCTCTATCGATGTTAAAATTATTTTATTCAAAGCTTACAGCCAATCATTTTACTCGAGCGGCCTGTGTGATAAGTATACGAGCTTACAACACCCTACGCGTTCAAAATAATAAAGTTTTCAGGATGCTGTTGGGATTCCCAAGATGATTACAGTGCATCAGGCATGTTCGCAGAGGCGCAAGTACATGGCTTCCAAGTGATTGCGGAAGAAAATAGTATCATGACTCGTGTCAGAAATAACCACAACAGCATCCTGAAAATGGTTTCAGACAGATTTAATTCTCCAATTCTAAAGTACTCGGTTCTAAGTATAAATGTTACTAACAAATTATATGGGTCTATGCCTGAAATAAATAATTCTATTCTATTCTATAATAATAATAAATAATTAATTCCAGTCAGCATTTCTAACCGCTTGAGGCGGTTGGATTTCTGTGGCGTGTCGCTTCCAGCACAAATGCAGAAGGCGGTCCTGCTCGATACGGCACGTATTGTTCGCCGATTCTTGGACCTGAGTCCCTGACCCCGGCCGACTGTGCCATTGCCGGGAAATACCGCCTCTCCCATTTAAAAATTCAAAATAAATCTTTTAGGCCTTGGGAGAGGCGAGAGTTTAAAATAAATACGATAATAATAATAATATTTAATTATTGAGACAACTGAGATCCAATCAAATCTTTTAAATTCTATATACCAATGATTTTTATTTATATCAAATGAACTAAAATAGAATACGGATGCTACACGATATAGGTACATTTTGATGATATAAGGTAAGGTAAAAACGACTATAAAAGCTTGAATACTAGAAAGTAAAAGTAGGATTTTTAAATTATATGAAACCCAAGGCAAGGTGCCCAAGATGCTGGCAGCGTTCCCCCTTTGTATTGTTATGCCAATGCGTTGGGCAAGGAAGCTTGGGTTTCCCAGTCAGTCTATTATTTTTTTGAATAACATTTTGTACAGATGAAGGGTATATATTTGAAATGCCTTTAATTTCGGTTCTAAAAAAATAAGTTCTGAAATAAAGCCAGTGACCCTGGTACGGGAAATACTTGAATTCGAGCGCTAAGATGGTATGGACTCCCAATAGTAGGACAAACGAAATAAAAATAAAATGCCAATTTTCGAACTATATTTTGTAGTACATCATTGTCGTTTACGATCTTAGTATTCGCATCCGCATCCGCATGATCCGGAGATGGTGACAGCGCCAGATGCTGGCACTTGTCCGTTGAACTTGACAGCACCGAGCACTGGAACCTGGCCAGCGACCAGTGTGGAGCCGGCTACCCCCAGTTCGCCCGCTACTGCCACGTTACCGGCGCCATGGCCGCTGTACGGTGCGGGAGCGTATGCAGCAGGGCCAGCCCAGGCAGAGCCCCAACGAGCATCTCTGGCTGCAGCGTTGGCAGCAGCAGCGTTGGCAGCGGCGGCAGCGTTGGCTGCAGCGGCAGCGTTAGCCGCAGCGGCAGCGGCTTCAGCTTCAACGACTGCGGGAGCGTAATCAAGACCGCACTTGGTGTAAACCGCCTGGAATAGAAATTAAAACACTTTCTGTATTATAATTGAAATGTTACATTAATTCAAAATCGTACTGCCGGCTTGCAGAAACACTTCTTTGTAACATAATGTGTGGGTTTTGTAAACGTTGACAAGCAGTATTGCACTGCACATTTGGGACAGGTGAGTGTGCACATCATAGACATAGGCGTCTGAATGGTATGTTTTTACAATTGAATTCAATAACTTTACATATACACTCTTTCCTATTTCCATCTAACGTCTTTACACGCGCGCTCAATCGGGCACAATTACTGTATCACGAGTATCACAGAAAGTCCACTATTAATGTTTATTGCATATCATATCACAAATTTAAAATGGATTAATTAGTGGCTTACATGTGACGGCGAAAAAACACAGCAAATGCAGAGGGAATTTATATTAAATAGTTCATCATAATCATCATCAACCCTTTACATGTCCCACTGCTGAGCACAGGTCTCTTTCCAGGGATTTACATCATCACGATGTTTCCTTCACCGAAACGCTCATGAAAAATTTCAAATTATATTCCAAGAACTTAGAGGTCTGCACCTCTTCCTGAATTCGAACCCACGGCCTCTCAAGATTGAAGATCAAACCAATATCACGACTTTTACATGAAATAGAAATGAATCACATTATTAAACACATAAACGTTAAAGAAAAGAAAAAATTTTAACACCCTTACCTGGATAAGGCAAGCCTGGGCGCAGAGTAACAAGAAAGCGAAGGAGTTCATTTTTAGCTGGTATTCAACGAATTGCTGAACAAAGAATAATGTCTAATAACCTTAGAGAACCTTTTATACCTTGCATTTTAGCTATTGGGAAATTCAGTCGACAGTACCTATGTTTTATCAACTTTCGCTACTTTCTTATCGTTATTTGCCGTATCTATTTTACATAATATTGAAATTGAATCCAATATATCATTTGGCAACCAATTAATTACGTATATTGTTGCAACTAGTTTGATCAATTTCATTGTGTCTCGTAATTGATTTGTATAAAAGGTTGATTCGCAATACAGGTCATCATTATCGAGTCAGTCCTCAGAAAGTCCACTACAATGTCGTCCGTATCCATGATTGTTCTGTGCGCTTCTGCGCTTTTCGTTCAGGTTTGTTTATTGCTATATTATTTACATGTTAGAATATTCTCTGTATTCTTTTTAACAGATTTCAAAAAAAAAGGTTCTCAATTCGACGGTATATTTCTTTTGATGTAAAGCCGGTTTTACATTTGTCTGACGTGTCGTGACGCGTCAGAACGGTATCGGTATTATAAATTTAATATGGTTAGATTTAGATATTAGTGTGTCGTAATCTGTCGTGACGGTTTGTACTGTGTATATGAAACCGATAGTTCCGAAGCGTCACGAAACAACACGTCAGGCAACTGTAATTCCGGCTGTACACGATTACTTCGGTTTACATTTCTGAACCGATTTTGATGATTCTTTTTTGTTGGAAAGAGGATACGTCAGTATTGGTCACATTTAAATTTGATGAAAATATTCTACCTCTGAAGGTGGTAAACTAGAGGATGTTTCCAGTTTCACGCACTTTCCGATAACCGATTGCTAACTTTTTAGTTTGAGTTTCTATGTACATATCAGTAAACTTTGAAGTTGGTTCCTTTTTTATTATACTATATCATTTCGCAGAAGCAGCTTTTTACTAAATAAAATTTTAAATACAGTAAATGTTCCGCAGGGGACCACCTTGGCTCCTGATTAGTTCTTTGTTACAACGAAAAGTTCTTTAAAACGGAAATCACAAAGGAAAAAACATTACTTTTTTGTTTTGTTTTCATGTGTGTAGCTAATACTTTGACCCTTGTATATTAGCCGTAATTTAACGTAATATTGTGTTTTGCACAGACCATCTCTGCACAGTGCATGCGTGGTGCTCCGGCATGGGAAGCGCCGGCCCCCATGGCCTGGAACCCCGGCTGTGGCGCGGTTAACTACGGCAACATCATCGCTTCTAACTCGGCATCTACTAGCGGCGGTGGCTTCGGTGTAATCTCCTCCTCCCTATACGCACCAAATGGTCTTTCCGTCTTGTCCGAAAATGACATTTCAGGCATGCTTGATGCTTCTGGTAACCTCCCAGTGCTCGCCGCCGTCGCTCTGGACGGCTCGCTACCGACCACCGGTTCAGCTGGAGCCACCTACAGTTGTGGAAATGAACTGGTGGGCATCGATAGCGACAGCATCGCCGCTGCTGGTATCGACGCTGCGAGCTACAACGCCGGTTACGGCTCTGCTTTTGGACCAAAAGCCTTTGCCCCCCGTGTCTATTCTGCGCCCTCTTTCAAAGCTGCTCCCTGTGGATGTTACTGAAAAGGTATAATAAATTAAGTGTTTACAAAATAAAAATAAATAAACTTTTAGTTATCGCGCTATATTCCGTCATTTTATTTCATTAATATGTATATCCTTCATTACAAAACTTACAGGTCACATGGTCATTACGTAATTTTTATGAGCAAAGCTTTAACCAATGACCTTACATTATTTTTTCTTTAATGGCGGTTACTAGACTTGGGCCAGTGTCAGTTTTGTATAAATAATATACAAATTACGGCGATCGTCGCCAATGTTAGTGTTTACCACGTAACTTAAGATCATTTTACACAAAAGCAAAAAACTGTTGAAATTGTTTTAAAATTGAGGAATAGACATATAGGAATACTTTTCAATTAGGTATTAATATTTTCTATATTTTAGTTAAATTTCGTTATAGTAAATAAAAATCTCTTTTTTTATCATTTTCGTTTTGTCCACGGACAGAACAAGTTGCTGATTTTAGTTTAATATATTTGTCATAATTTGATTTAAATTCTGAAAATAAGGTTTAGTAAAATTTCTTGACAGTAATCTGGAACTTTTCTGATTTTTTAAGTTCTTGGGTTTTCATTGGACTATTTTTATTTCTTGGGATTATTACACGTAAAAAATGAAACTATTTTTCATACCTTTTAAGCGACATCTAAAGCTGTCTTTTTTTTAGACGGAGTAAAATAACAATTGCAGGTTTGTCAGTTTTTATAAAACTTTAAATAGTCGTCGTCGACAGTTTTAACAATAGATTGTGAAAGGACATAAATTTTGAAAAAAAATTTTAAATTTTGAATGTCATGGACGTAGTATCGAAATACATTTTTATTCATATACATTTTAACAAGAATAAACAGATTTGTAACACCACGTACAAAAAATATTAGTAACCTCGCTTTGCCGCTGGATGGCGTTGGGATCAAAATAGACCTCGCTATCGAAGTGTTAACTAAATTACCGTTTAAGTTGCAATAGGAAATTGTTTTGTATCGAATCATAGGGTCTATGAGTGGCATACATAGAAGACGTAATCGCGCCCATCCCACAGAACGACGATTCTATGAGCTTTCATCTAAGTATACTTACATATCATACAACTACGTCAATAAAAGCCGTTGCGCATTTGGAAATTTAGGTGTCATTCTTCACCCTTCCTCGCTTCGTGTACCTATTACAAATTTGATTATCTAAATTGAATTAAAATGAAAACCTTTAAAATACGTCTCCGTTTTGTATTTTTTTTTAATTCTAAATGCGGTGTACATACACCGCACACAATCTACATAGATTATAAAAATTGACATTTCAAATTACCTAACCTGTGGTCAGTTATTGGACGAATGACAAGCCGAGAACTACATTTCGGCTATTTTTTCCATAAGCGTGACTAATATTCAGTCGACAGTCGATAAAATATTTATCGACTGCAATCACTACCTGCTTGCTTTTGCGCAATAAGTTGTCATTTTACTCCGTCTTCAAGAAAGACAAAAATTTTTCACTAGATGTCACTGGCGGCGCCAAATGCCGAAATCCAGTACAAAGTTCTTTATCAATCTGTCATTTCTATCACCGAAATAGCTCTAGGTCGCTTCTTGTCCTTGGACCACCTAGCTGGTTCACCTGGGTGGATCATGAGCAATTATTTCTACCCGTGGTTCACCTATGTCCACGTGAGTGGACCATGTGCAACTATTTCGTCTCATGGTTAATTAACATGTTATTTTCATTGGAATTAGGTCTATGTGCCAAGTTGTACTGAAATCGGTTAATTGAGAGTGGGTGATATTCAATGAACCGGATACAACCCTTAATTTACAGTGAAAGTCAAGGTCAAATAATCATTTATTCTAAGGGTAAAACTTTTACACTTGAAAATGTATTTTTTTAAGCTACTGCTACGTTCACTACGCTGACATCCCTGAGAAGAACGAGCAAGAAACTTAGAGATTGCTCGTTTCAAATAAACTTAAATGCTATGGAATACACTTTGATTCCTAATTGTGTGAGCTCTAGACTTAAGTCGTCTTTCCATTCATCTTTATCTAATACACACTCTTCAATTTTGTAATATGAATTTTCAATTGAAATACTTTTAATGTAAGTTTTAAACTTAGGTAATGATAATCTTAATATATACTCCGGAATCTTATTGTAAAAACGTATACAGTTCCCCATAAAAGAATCGTTATATTACCTTAGTTAAACGAAATCGTAGTACCATGAGTTACCACACTCAGAAGTAGAATATTTTAATTATAGCAAAAGGAAATAGTATAAGTACAATAAATTCACATGTATCATGAAATAAATACGTGATACGTGAAACAAATAATCATCACCTTCAACGCATCTACTGCTGGATATAAGCCTCCGCTTGAACACGCCAACTCTCCCTGTCTTGTGCCGCCCACATCCTCTAATATACCACCCTTAGAGGTGGAATATTTTCTTCGAATTTAAATGTGACCACAGTTGAGGTACCCCTTTTCCAACAAAAACAGAACCAGCGAAATCGATTCACAAATGATGCCTAAAATACATTTACTTAGTTTAGGCATTGCAATTACACTTCAGATGTTACTATTAAAACTGCTTTACTATGAAGAATGTGTAATCTAGATTCCCCAGTTTCATTCTTATTTGAATACTATAATAGCTTTATTTATATTTGTTTTACTTACATTGAATTAGATTAAGTTATATTGAAATAAATTTATCTTATCTTACAAATATTGAAGTGTATGTTACGCGATACATACACACACAAAATACAGTCGAATTGACAACCTCCTCCTTTTTTAAGTCGGTTAAAAAGGGTATTTTCAGTTGTTTAAGAATCAATGCACCTCATAATCACAACCAACACTATCCAAGTAACTCAAAATATCTTCCGATCTCGATTGAAGAGAAATTTAAGTTTACGAATTTGACTTTGGGGGAATTCAAATCAGTCGCACTCGTGCCAAAATGGAATCACGTGTGTTATAGATCGAAAATGTCGTTGTTGTATAATTAAAACTTTTCTATAAGCTGTAATAAAAAAAGATAAACGAAACAACAGAATTCCAATGCAAATCAAAGTGTATTTTATCTGATAGTCTGCCAATTGAAGGTCTTAGTATTCGCATCCGCATCCGCAAGATCCGGAGATGGTGACAGCGCCAGATGCGGGCACTTGTCCGTTGAACTTGACAGCGCCGAGCACTGGAACCTGGCCAGCGACCAGTGTGGAGCCGGCTACCCCCAATTCGCCGGCTACTGCCACGTTACCGGCGCCATGGCCGCTGTACGGTGCGGGAGCATATGCAGCAGGGCCGACCCAACCAGCGCCCAAACGAGCATCTCTGACCACGACATTGGCAGCAGCAGCGGCAGCGTTGGCAGCAGCGGCAGCATTGGCCGCAGCAGCAGCGGCTTCAGCTTCAGCGAGTGCGGGAGCGTAATCAAGACCGCACTTCGTGTACACCGCCTGAAATTGGAATTAAAACACTTTGTTGAAATTTTAGACGAATTTCAAAATCGTATTGTCGGCCGCCTCATGCAGAAACACATCTATGTTAACATCGAGAAAGCAGCAGAGCACTACCCACTAAAAAAGGGAAATGAGAATGAGCGTATCATAGACAATGGATTCTAAATATCTTATGTTACACGCCAAATACGACGTTAACAAAAAGAAAAGCAAGCTCCTTACCTGGATAAGGCACGCCTGGGCGCAGAGTAACAAGAAAGCGAAGGAGTTCATTTTTAGTTGGTATTCAACGAATTGCTGAACAAAGAATAGTGTCAAATAGCCTTAGTGAACCTTTTATAGCTCGCATTCTAAGTGTTACGAAATTCAGTTAATTTCAACGTGTTATTGTTGGTTTACTTACTTTCACTACTTTCTTATCTTAGTTTGCCTATCTATTTTACGAAACATTGCAATTGTACTCAGTGTTTTATTTGTTAATCAATTAATCACCTATGTCATTACCAACACCTTGGGTAATTATATTGTGTCATGTCATTGTTTGTATAAAAGCTTCACCTGAAATTCAGGTCATCATTCTCGAGTCAGTCCTCACAAAGTTCATTACAATGTCGTCGGTATCCATGATCGTTCTGTGCGCTTCTGCACTTTTCGTCCAGGTTTGTTAAATATTCCTTACATCGTTTCCTATTCATACATTTAGCTAAGACATTCATTCTTACGTTTTGTTTGTTATTATTTTTTGTTGATACTATGCTTTGCGCAGACCATCTCTGCTGAGTGCCTACGTGCCCCTGCTTGGGATACGTGGAAGCCAGCGCCGGCTCCCATCGCCTGGGCCCCCAGCTGCAGCGCGGTTAACTACGGCAACATCATCGCTTCTAACTCGGCATCTACTAGCGGCGGCGGCTTCGGTGTGATCTCCTCCTCCCTCTACGCACCTAGCGGTCTTACCGTGCTCTCCGAAAACGACATTTCAGGCATGCTTGATGCGTCTGGTAATCTCCCAGTGCTCGCCGCCGTCACTCTGGAAGGCTCGCTACCGACCAGCGGTTCAGCTGGAGCTACCTACAGCTGCGGAAACGAACTGGTGGGCATCGATAGCGACAGCATTGCCGCTGCTGGCATCGACACTGCGAGCTACAATGCCGGCTATGGCTCTGCTTTCGGCCCAAAAGCCTTTGGCCCCCGTGCCTACCCTGCTCCCTCGTTCAAGGCTGCGCCCTGTGGATGCTACTGAAAATAATAGTCTTAAGACCTAAGTGATTACAAACCAGAATGAAATAAACTTTTGACCATGGTACTATATTTTTTCATTTTCTTTCATTGATGTTACACGGGGTGTATAAGAAGTTAACACCAAAATAAAGAAGCCAGTTCTGCACAATTCTTAATTGCATAATTAATTCCGCCTTCTCCTTTCCATCATCGAAGGACTAGACGTAGGCTGAGGTTCCACCCCTATATTGTGGATATTCCAAAGATTCGCACGAAACGTTTTGCTTCCACATTTATATGGTTAACGACTTTGAAGTGGAATTCCCTGCCTGCAGACTTGTTCCGTGAATGTTATAACGTGGACCTTTTCAAGGCGAGAGTGAATAGGTATTATTTAGGTCTGCATGCTCCATCGTCGACTTCAACGTCACTTTTCATCTCAATTTTCGTCAATTGCGCAATTATTTTTCAATTAAAAAATCTGCAAATTTTCTAAAAACCACTAGTCATTGCTATTTCAGTGATACTCCACTGAGATTATATTGAAATTACGATAATATTTGTTATTCTGCTAAAACCTAGTTGCAATGGAAGTTGTGGCGGACTGTATCAATGGGTTAAAGTTTGGGTGCTAACAACGTGTGAACAAGGCCAAGCAAATGTACTTACAGTTTAATAATGTTATTACAAAACACGTAAGTCGCTATCAAAGCAAAAAAAGATAAGACGAATCACGAAAAGGCGCCAGAAACAATCACGTATAAATTTACAATTTAAATAAAACTAAAAGTTTAATAAAATATATACAAAAGAGATTTGTAGTTACTGCTGCGATTCGCTACAGCAGTTGAGCCTCAATAAAGTGTCGGCGGAATTGGCATTGATGGCATTAATTCACTCAATCATTAAGGATAGATGTGGCTTTAACAAAATTACAATGAAATTACATATCTTAATTTTTATCTTATTTAAGCAGCAGTTTAGTCTGGAAAATGAAACGTATTTTATTTTTGTCAATTTTTTTTTTTTCATTTTTTTGTTTATTTATATCTATTTATTTTTAGGAAGATTTACTGCGAATTTTTAACAATAAATACGTGTTGAGTAACAGGTGAAAAGGCTAATTACCAATCTCCACAAGTAGCACAAAAAATAAGTTATTAAGTTATATAAATACCACCCCGCTGATCCAGTGGGGTGGTGGAGCGCCAGAGTCTCGTTTGTTGGTCGGCAGGGTGTAACCACGAGCCTGTGAGGTTGGCTTGGATTCCGAAAGATGTTATTTGGACCCCCTTACAGCCGGATGCAACTCAGTGGACTAACGTTGTTACTCCTTGGGTGCCCGAGGATGGAAAGAGACGGCGGGGACAGCCGAGAAAGCGTTAGCGGCACGATCTTGATGGGTTTGAGAGGAGTGGTGGGAGATCGCCAAAGACTTGGAGCAACGGAGGATTTGGGAGACCTTTGCCCAGCAGTGGGATATAATATGTTAATTAAAATGTAATTTAAAACAACTCATGCACTGAAATCAATATTTAAAAAACACCCGATATTTACTGAGCCATTTTTAATGAGCCCAAACACGATAGTTCCAGGAAAATGTCATAAAATTATTTACGACCTTAAACATAGTCCTTTATTGTAATTACCTATTAAATTAAACGAAATTAAGTTTAGTACATTATTATTGCAGAGGCCGGGAAGTAAGAGTTTACTGGACGAGTATGACGCACAAGGGCGAGTGTCAGCTAGGCCTTGTATTAATACGAGTCAAGCAATCCCCGTACCCGCCGAGGCATGTATAGTATTTTTCTCAAACAATGTGAGGAAATAGTAAAAGACTAAAGAGAGGAAACTATTCACTAATATTAAAAGTAATATTTGATGTGTTAGGACAATTGCTAAAAGAAATTGTTTTTCCTGGCACATCGATTCGTCTCCGCAGGAATTTGCATATCGTCTCTCTTCTTTACAATATTCTACATAATCCTTTTTCTCCCAGGTATCTGAAAGAGCGTTTCAGCTTTCTCAAGTCCCAGAATAAGCCTTGTCGCTCTCTCGTTAGGTCCCAGTTATCTTTTCCATCATTCAATTCCGGTTTTTATTCTTACTCGTTTACTGTTCATGCGAGCAGCTGGAACGCACTTCCCATTACTGTACATGATAGTAAATCCTTAGCTATCTTTAAAATGCGAATCAAGGAGCAATATTTATCTGCTATTCCATCCATTTTTTAGATTTTAAAATATGAAATATGTATTTATCTGAATCTGAAGTAACTTAATATTTTTTGCTACTTTTTTAAATTATTTTATTACATAATTTAATTTAGCTTTGTTGTGCACGCAAACCCGATAATGTAATTATTGTGTCCAGTGTTTTGGTCTGCAGGAAGAAATTTATTATACAAATCAGCATACCTTTTGTCTCCGTTTTTCCGTGTCTATTATTGTATTTTCGTAATTGCTCTTCTCACTATCACACATTTTTAACCGACTTCAAAAAAGAAGGAGATTCTCATTCATTTCATGATTCTTTTTTTGTTGGATAGAGGGTAGGATCCCATTTAATTTTGAAGAAAATCACCCACCTCTAAAGGTGCCAGTTCACGCATTAAGATTCATTTTTATAAGTAGCGTCTAAATATTGTAAGGAGCAATTATTTTAATGGGTGATTTTGTTATTCGCCAATTCAAGGCGTTCTTCTCTCTCAATATACTTTGAGTAGTGAGAACCGATTTTTATTATCTCCTGTGTCAAGTCCCGTATAGTGGCGAACTAGGGGATGAATCCGGGTTTACTCACTTTCCGGTAACCAATTTCAATAAAACTTGGTAATTATATGTAATTCAGCGTACTTTTGAGGTCGGTTTTTTAGTACTGAGATTATCACGACCAAAACACAAAAAAAAAACGAAAAAGCAAAAGAATACCAAAACACTAGTTTAAATGTTACCGCCATTTTCTTTTTTTTTTAATGAGCGGTACGAGTATGAACACTGGGCAGTTGGCTGTATGACTTTGTCTTTTGCCAGTTTACTAGATTTAGGTTTTTCATACTTACTTTGTAGGCCTTGGCCGGGAAGAAGTCACACGGTCTATAAATGATAAACTTTCCGTGTTCGTTTCTTGAAAGTAATGTCAACATATCCGAGCACGTTTGAGAAAAAAATATTAATTACAAAATGTGAATTGTTCTAAGTTTTATCAGATTACAGCTTGAAAAGAAATATCCAAATGTTTAATAACGTCAAAAATCGGAAACTACCGTTGAAAATATATATGTTTTGCTCGGTTATTAAATCCCCTTTGTTATAATTCTTATTACGAAATATAGTATAGAAATAAATATTTAAAAAACTATTTAACAATTACTATGAGTACGATGACCAGCTGTATTAATTACTGTCGAAGTTCATTGTTAGACTTTGTAATCCTATGGACAAGGCACATTTGTTTGGAAAATTTGGCACTATGCAGCTGTTGATGTCATACTTTACACTGAACAACTTTATCTATAAGGATTTCAACAATGATTTCTAAACAATCTCTTGCTGCAAACAAAACGAAAATTTATTTGTAACCATTTTGTTATCAATTATTACATTACAACTTACGTAAACTAATATAATCGTTCAGTATAAATACTTGTGTTGATTTTCCAAAAATCATACTTTATAGTAACGTTGTGATCGATAGAAAAAAGAAAATGGCGGCTAAAACCATTGCTGTTCTTTGTGCGTCAGCAATTATTCTTCAGGTAACTATTAGAAAGATTTTCTTAATAATTACCTATTTGGCACAATTATGATAAACTTCCCTTGTGATTTCTAATTAGAAATAGGACTTCCCATGTTTTCACGTAGAAAATATAGAAAGCAACGATCCTTTTGTGATAAGGTATATTATATCAGGTATATGGTCACTTTCTCTCTGTCTCTCTCTAAATAAATGTTCTTTTACTTCTTTCCTTACGATATCAAGTGACGGAACGAACAAGTCTTGTACCTGGTGTCTACTCATGACAGTTACATTGCCACTCAGAGTTTTAAATTGCAAAGGTATAGTTGCTCTGTCACCTGTTACCCTGAGACATAAAATCCCATGTGTCTCTAATGTCATCTAAAGCCGTAATCTTCAAATTGGAATGCAGTAATGCTCACATTGCGTTGGTAGTACTCCTGCTGAACCTCCTCTCGTATAAATCTGTCATTAACAACTTACTTATTGTTACAGACTGTAGCAGCACAATGCGCCAATTCTTTCGCACCGCGTCCTTTTGTTGGTCCTATCCCTAACATAGGGTGTGGCAGCATTAACTATAACTCTCCAATTGCGGCTGGCCTGACTAGTGCCAAAACAAATGCTGGCAGCTTTACTGTTACCTCCTCATCACCCATTGCACCTAGCGGAGTGTCTGTAGTGTCAGAATACGTCATCGAAGGTCCTCTGGCAGTTACTGGAGAGCTACCATTACTGGGGGCTATAGGTATGGATGGAGAGCTGCCTACTGGAGGAGAGGCTGGCACTTCTTACGCTTGCGGTAGTAATGTTGGTATTACTAGCGAGAGCTTAGCCAATGCTGGTGTAAATGCGTATGGCTCTTCTGGTTTGTCGGCTAACCTTGCTGGTGTCAATCTAGGCAGCGGACTTGCTGCCAGGTTAGGACATGGTTACAGTTGTGTTTAAGTTTATTGTTTATTTTAAAATAAATTTTCTTTTTGTTTTTGTTATTTTGTAGTTTTTGTTTACGTCCCAATGAGTGTATACGAAACAACATACAGATTTTTTTAAAGAAATATTGCCCTCCAAATCCTAAGACCCATTTTGTTGTCGATACAGTTTCTAAAAAAGTTAAAAAGCATTTCAACAATCGACTATCAATTCGCTCTCAATTTTTTTAGTGTATGTTACACATTTGTTAACCGATCTTGATGATTCTTTTTTCATTGGAAAGAGGGTACCTCAATATTGGTCCCATTTAAATTTCAAAAACATATTCCACCTCTTGGGGTGGCAAACTAGGGGATGAATCCGGCTTCGCGCACTTTCCGGTAACCGATTGTTAACTTTATAGTTTTAGTTTGCATGTACATATAAGTAAAGTGTGAAGTCGGTTCCTTTTTTATTTTGTGCGGATCAAGAGGACTTCAATGAGGACAACGAATTGTTGAAAAATATAATTTTATTTCTAGAAACAAGTTTACATAAAAAATAAACAAGAAACTTAAGTTTTTACGCAATTAACTTATCACACGTCCTTTCTCTTCCATCTTCTCGTTCCAACCTCACTTCTTCGTTCATTCTTCTCTCAAATATTCACTCATACCATCTCACTCACTTGCCCGTTCGGATAGTATATATGCATGTCATCTTACTCCACATCACTTTCGGATATCCATTCTTACCAATCCCACATTTATATTGTATAATTTCGTAGAAGCAACTTTTTACTAAATAAAAATTTGAATTACAGTTAAAGTTCCACAGGGGACCGCTTTGGCTCCATATTTGTTCTTTGTTACAACGAAAAGCACCTTAAAAAGACATCACACCTCTAAAAGGAGACCACAAAGACCAAGGAAATGCTTATAATAATGGTGTACTTAAATACAATAAATTGAATCGATAAATTAAAAGATTTAGATCCGGAAAATAGTTTAGTTTCCAATACGTAGTAATTTGTTGAAATGAACTCAAATTCCCTATGGCCCGAAAACCCATCACTAGGGTCAAACTCGCCAACTTTAGCTAGAGTTAGCTTTGTGACATTTGCAACGAAACCCATAGCTGACTATTCAGCCGTGCTTTTGGTACGGGAAAAGGACCTATCAACTTTTGATTTTTTGGCTTCATCGTGACACAAGTACTAATATATTTCAAATCTTCGTCTACAGTTACATTTATTTGTCTGCTTGAAAAATCTGTAAATCTTGCAACCAAATAATGTTGATTAAATTCTACTCAGTAGAAGCCTAGTTGACAGAACTCTTGTTTACTATGCAGGAGACCAGAGTACGACACCAATGGAAGGTCTATAGCATTTTGTCTCTTGGAATCTTGTGGTCAGTTCAACAAAAATACATCATGTTTTCTATAAATATGACATTTCCAAAAAAATAACTAAACAAACATAAAACTTTACGAAGACAAATAACATCTAGAAATTAATCATCTCCTTAGAGAAAACACAGTCTATATTACGTTCTTACAGACCAGTATGGCAGACCAGATGGTCTACCATACTTGGTCTATGGTTCTAAATATAATGTCCAAAAAACACTCAATGACGAACCGAATGTTTCAATTCATAACCAAATAAAAACAAAAGATTTGTAACAAAACATTTATTTTATCGTCAACCAATTTTATCGACATCCACATCCACAAGATCCCGCGACGGAGACGGCGCCAGAAGCAGGGATTTCACCTTCGAAATTGACTATGCCGATTACCGGCACTAGACCAGAGACCAACGTGGAGCCGGTGACGCCCAGCTCACCCACCACTGCCACGTTGCCTGCACCCTTGCCGCTGTTCGCCAGCGCGGGATTGTACGTAATAGGCCATCCAGCTTCCCAATCAGCAGCTCTGGCCGCAGCAGCGGCATTAAAGGCAGCAGCGTTGATTGCGGCGTTGGCATCAGGTGCGTGAGGGTTACCGTAATTGCATTTGTTGTACACCGCCTTTAATAAAAAAGAAAATTTTTGTCATAGAAGACAAATATACAGACAAATATGAAAGATGGACACATAAAAAATTCCGACAACACAAAACGTCTTTATATGCTCAAAAGCAAATTATGTATTTATATTGTAAGTTTCTGGCAGCAGTAGCTGCAGCAGTCCTTGTGAAAAAAGTACTGACACCTTACCTATTTCTGCCACCAAGCAGTAACGTATACTGGTGAAATTACAAGCATATGGGACTTGTTAACTTATGTCTCAGGGTTACAGGTGCAATAGCAGTGCTCAGATGTTTGCGATTTGAATCTCTGAACGACACTGCAACGGCTATGGACAGGCGTGTCGTTTAGTATCAGGCTCACGACTTGTTCGTCACTTGATATTATAAAAAAAAAGTACAATCACCAGCTGAAACGTGATCGGACCTCCATATTGTACCATTCGTAACAACTGAATTATCCTTTTTGAAATCACAAAGAGAGGTAACGTTGGTTTTATTTAAATTCCTAGGGATTGGTATTTCTTACAGGTATAGTTTTCTTAAAAAAATATATTTTTTACGATATTTATTTTATTGAATATTAAGATACTACTATGAGATTTATACTTATTTTTTTGTAAAATTCTGCAATAGTTTATTGTTATTATTGATGCAAAGATCTTTTTGTTATTCTTCTATCAAATATTACCTGTATGAAGTAGACTTGGGTGCAGAGTAACAAAAATGTGAAGGTGGACATATTTGTACAATTATATTCAACGAATTACTAAATTCAGAATGAACATCAACATTTTGTGACCACTTTTATATTTAATTAACCATAAATGTTGAAAACAATTAGTCGCCTAAAATAATAATAAAACATGCGAACGTGACGACGTGACGTTTCAATTGTGGTTGAGTAACAAAGTTTGTTAACATTTTAGAAATAAAACATTGCAGGGGCTAAGTAAAGTCTGTTCATGTACACAAAATTTATATAATATTTTTGACTTATGTACATTTTGTTAAAAAAAACCAGTTTTGTATTATTACTTATTACAATGCGTATTTCTTTAGACACAAATCTATATTTTAAGTCAAACGATTTTAGGTAACGCAATCAAATGCTTTCCTTAATGCAACTGATATTACGCTTTGCCGAAATTCAATTTTAGTTACCAAATTTTGGTAAATAATACATCTCATATGATTTCAGCCGACTTTATTAAAATTTTACAGCATCTTGTTATTTTTGTTGCACACAATGCTTATTGTGATTTGTCGTAGGGTAGAATTTTTTATTATCGTTAATAAAAATAACCTCAATTTATTATATTTAAATTAAAAAAGCCAAAGTCTCGTTTACTTTAGTATATTTTTATATAAATATTTTCATGCCATCACATTAACTTGTCAACTTATTTACAAATGACAAATGTATATTTTTGTCAGATCATCTTACCTACAGAATATCTTACAGAATACTCGAGCTTACCGATGTTAGTACTGTTAGACTAGTTTACTTTAGTTACTTCCATGGTATAATGTCCTACGAGATTCTCATGCGGGGTAAAGCTGCAGATATTCAAACCATATTTGTATTGCAAAAACGAGCGATTCGTTCTGTGTACTGTCTAGGCTCTCGGGTTTCTCTCAGAGAAAAGTTTAAGGAGACTGGTATCATGACTGTGGCATCGCAGTACATTTACTCAAATATTTTATATGCCCGTAAAAATATACATAATTTCAATAGAAAGAAGATATCCAAAATATTAACCTCAGAGCTAAGTCCAAACTCATGGTACCACGATTTCGTTTAACCAAGGCAAATAACTCTTTTATGGGGAACTGTATACGTTTTTACAACAAGTTTCCGGAGCATATATTAACTTTATTAATTCCTAAGCTTAAAAGCTACATTAATCCAGAATCCACACAAATTTGATTCAAAGTGTATTCCACAGCATTTAAGTTTATTTGAAAAGAGCAATCCCTAGAGTTTCTCGTTCTTCTCGGGGAAGTCAGCACGTGTGACGTTTTCAAGTGTAAATTTATTTTACCTATGGAATAAATGATCTTTGACTTTGACTTTGACATCACTGAAATGAACTTAACGAAGCGATAGTCGCAACTGTGAACAGTCAACTCAAATTATATTTAATTCATATTTTAAGTTCGATTTCGATTGAAATTGTCAGTTATCACGTCAGCTTCAGGTTTAAATTTTTTTGAGTCAAAAGTAAAACCGTATTTTTGTAGTAAATAGTATATTATGGGCAATATTTGAAGATTAACTACAGTGTCATTTATATTCATTTCATGTAATTTTCACACACAAACACCCAAACATAGACATACTCCAGACTACGTCTACTTTATTTTATTAACTAAACCATTTCACACTCAACACCACACTGAGCTGTAATACAGGTCTAGTATCTAATACGGACTCTAGTATCTCACAAATTGATCTTATATTTAACGTTGGGTCTATTTAGTGTAAGATTCATATTTGTGTTTGAGAAATAAGCCACTATTATTATTCAATCAAATACAATTTATCAAAATAAGTGAGAGAGTTGTATATGCGTCAGGGTCATAAATTAAAAGAAATGGTACATTTGTAACTTTTTAGTACAGGAAATTGTTTATATTATTCCGGTTATAGATTAGTAACATAATAAAATAATAATAATTTCAAATAATAAAAGCACTTTTGGCGTATGATGTTATGTAACTTTATTGTACCAAGGATACGAAGGCTTGATTGGAATATTATACATTTTTATTATCAAATATAACTCTCTTATTTAGCTCTTGTTTCATTTCGAAAAGTTCTTTGTACAGTAAGATAGAGGTGGTTAAAAAAGCGGGGTAATAAACATTGGCAATCAGAAGACTATTTTTGGCATACACCTGCTGTACATTTACAATTTAAGCGCATCCACACCCACATTTGCCACTAGTAGTAGCTTCACCATAGGCATATACTTTTCCATTGAATTTAACCAAACCCAGGACTGGAATAGTTCCAGTGAGTCTAGTTGTTCCTTTGATGCCGACGTCACCGGACACTACGACGTTACCGGCACCATAGCCCTCGTATGCTTCAAATCTGTCATCGCTTAAGATGACAGCAGGAAGTAATGAAGGAATTTTTGGTGCAGCTAGACCACAGGGCTTTGTTGAGACAATGGGATTGGCAAATGTGTACTGAAACGTGAAAATTTACAATTTATTGCTATTTATTATTATGCAATGCTATATATTACGCAATAGTCGGTTATTTAGCTAAGACAACCCTTGAAGAGGTGGTTAGGTGTTGCAGTTTGAATCCACATGGTCAAGCAGCGATAATGTACATAAGGCTTAAACGAAAAGCTTATTAAAGACAATAGAGAACCGAAGGGGAAAGATGTTTGGGCGTCTTAAGAGAAGATGAATATGACGACTAACGAAAGATGGTAGATGACGACTGACACGAAGTTATTTAGACCAGATCGACACCTCCAATGAACACCAACTTTATTTGGTGATTTTCTGCGATTTTTGTAAACATCTATGTTTATTGACTAATATTGTTATTATATAAAGGATCAAAAAACAAAATTCTAAAAAAAAACAAGAACCAAAAACAAAATAAAGATAGAACAGGTCATTGACTTTCAAATAAATGGACGACGGGTCTAATACAAAAACCACGAAAAAAAACGTCTCAAGTCAACCTATTTAAACGTAGTGACATGTAAAGGCATATGAAAAAGCTAAAACGTTGAATTTAAATTGTAATGTCATCGCAGTACTGTCTAATTTTGCTTGCTTCGCTGTCAGTTGACAAACGAAGACTAAAGCGTGAATGACGCTCTGTATACGATTTTAACGCCCTATAAGTTCGGACACTTTTCAGCGCGGACCCGACGTTCATATAATTGTAAGTCAATGGAACAGGTCCAAAAATTAATTTGGCCTAGTGTTCACTGGACGTATCGAGATAAGGGAAAAGTTGATGTCGTGTTGCATCAGAAACTCAAAATTATGGCGCTGAGCAGTGATGGTTGGCGTTTACTCCGCCGACAAGAGCCCTAGCTCTTAAATAAAAAGAAGAAGAAAAGCTATATGAAGATATTATTATTATTATTATTATTATTATTAGTCAAAATTTATAAACTATTTAAATTCCCTCCTCCCATGTCTTTGAAACCGTGGCTCCGTCGCCAGAGCGGCCCAAAACCGCAAAAGGCTCTCTGGGTCTCTATTTCCGCCAAAGAATAATTCGAAGGGGAAATGTCACCAGTAGGTTCTTTGGCCCGAGGTACGGCCTTCGATGAAATTTTTCACCTTAAACTCTTATAAAAATCATAATAATATTATTCAAAAAATAAATAAAAGGTAAAAACTTTACCTGGATCAGGCAAGCCTGAACGCAGAGCAACAAGAAAGCGAAGGAAGACATGTTGGTTAGTCAATATTCAACGGATAGATCCAGAATGATGTTTCAAAATTTAAAACATCTATTTATACTCGCAAAATAGATAATTTGAATGCTTTACTTCCTTTACAATAAATATTAATACGTGAGATTACTTCCTTCTGCATAGTACAGGTGATAGGAAAGAACAGGTGTAAAATAAAATGTAACAATAATAAATATATTTCTAACCAGAAACTTTGGTTTCTATTATTTGGTACTAAAGCAAGTCCTGTGACAAATTCTGCAGGGAGACTGGAATCTAAATTAGATCAAGACGTCTGTGTCTTAAACTTCTCTTAAGAACTTATAAATATTAAAATTACACCAAATTTGACAGAGATGTTAATTTTAAACTATATTATAAAGAAGCAACAAGTTATATAAAACAATGATTTAGTAGCAGTAGAGGTCCTTGTGAAAGAGTTCGTCCAGGTTAGTACTGCCACCTTATCTATTTCTGCCGCCAAGCAGTAATGCGGTCAGCATTACTGTGTTCCGGTTTTGAAGGGTAAAGGTGCTAGTCAAATTACAGGCACATGGGACTTGTCAAGTCACGTCTCAGGGTGACAGGCGCAGTGGTAGTGCCCCTCAGATCTTTGCAATTTAAAGCACTGAGTGGCACTGTAACTGTTATGGACAGGCGTGTAGCATAACATCAAGCGCACGACATGTTCATCCCGTCACTTAATGCTTTAAAAAAATAATTGAAATTTGTATCGAATTTGTGCGAACAACCACAAATTGACTTCAAGAATATGCCATTAGCAAAGAGCTCCTTGTAAATCTTTTGAGTTCGTCCAAGGAAGTACTGCCTTACCTATTTCTTATGCCAAGCAGTAATATGAGCATTACTGCGTTTCGGCTATGAAGGATTAAGGACGCTGGTGAAATTACAGGCATATGGGACTTGTCAACATGTCTTAATATGACAGGCGCAGTGCCTCTCAGATCTTTGTCATTTAAAGTTAGAATGGCAATACAACTGTTATGGACAGGCATATCGCTTACCACCAAGTGCACGACTAGTTCGTCACGTCGCCTGATGTCATAAAAAAATATATAAAGGATCTTTTTTAACCGACTTCAAAAAAAGAAGAAGTTGCGCTATAAGTCCGATTTGAGAACCGATTTTGATGATTCTTCTTTTGTTGGAAAGAAGGTACCTCAGTGTTGGTCCCATTTCAATTTAAAAAAAAATATTCCACCTCTAAACGACAAGGTAACACTAGGGGATGTATCCGGTTTCGCGCACTTTCCGGTAACCGACTTCAATAAAACTTGCAAATAGATGTAATTCCACAAACTTGTTAGGTCGGTTTATTTTTTATTAAAAATTATTATTGCCAATATTTTTATTATGACCACTGGGAAACACAAAGGGATCCAACGAGAAACCAAGAGTTGATATTTACAAGAGCTGTATCGCTAATGTGTTACCAGGAATATATGGCCCTTATTTCGTCTCTATTTCTGGTTATATACTCAATGGTCACGTTACATCGGTACACATCTTATTGTCCGTAATGAGTTGTTTAACGTCGCCTTACATTCTCAAACTCGTATCTTAAAGCACAAAGTTACTGTAATGCAAAGAAGGGATTGTATATATACAAATTTCCTTCATCTACACAGTAGCTGTTACCTATTCTTAAAGTAACGCATCCAAGTTAACACCCTTGATAAGAAAATTTAAAATACGTCTCTAGCCAGGGCTGGTAGCTGTAAATGAATCTAACTGGGTGTCGAAATACTTAAGATTTCTCATAGATGGCGCTACGGTTCAAAAATCATTGAAAAAACCAAATACAACGACACGACAACAAACACATAGAAAAATTCGTGAGGTCTGCGTCTGGCACGGTATGCTAGAAGACGTCGGTTCAAATCCAACCGGATCGATGTAATTTTTTTCGAGTGTTTTATCTTTGTATTAATAATTATAACCAATTTAAAATAAATAAAAAGTTTTGCCATCTCCTGAATAACAAGACATCGTTATGGTACACGCATTTAGACAATGGTCTGCTATGCTAAGGCTTTGTGAAGACATATGACTTTCAAATCATTTTCAGGTTTCTGTTTTACTACTTACAATATCTACGCTATTGATAACCTCGGAGAGCACAGTGTGTATGGAGTGCACGAAATCCTCCCCGCACTACGTACCATTCCTGTCCTGTACGTCCGGAGCATCTAGGCAACAGTCAGCTAGTATCCTACACCGACGGCAAATCTTTTCGACACTATGACAAGCATTATAATGTATGCCATCGATACAATAAGAAGACACTGGTATATTTTGAGCTAAATGAGGTGATCTTGGATTCTATTTCTCGTAGAATGAACTAAGGAAACAAGCATTTGCGATTGGTTCCATTTGGAGTATCAATCTATGTCTAATGTTTGGATTGGATATCTTTCTCGAATCGAAGGGCGCTTTCCGAGTTATTCAGAACATTCAGAGTTAAATGTTCGGTTCGGTTTCGGATACGATATCGTTATCTAACAGCGTTTACGGAGTTAGTCGGTGAATAGATTATAAGAAAAGGCCTACAGATAGAATATAGGAATGCGTTAGTCTTCCGTTAAAATAAATTAATAAAACTGAACAAAATCCAGACTTTATTTAAAATAATAAGAGATTTCTATATTACATTCTTGCTTTATAAAGAATAGGAAGTTTGGTAACTTGCATTCGATAGCTGTGTGTGAATAACGTTTGTAGCCATTGCCGGTCAAGAAGTTCGAGTAATCGTACGGGTGTGACGTCATTTCGGTTCGGCTTCGAATACGACAGTTTGACGTTCGATTCGCGTCTTGTGAATAATAATGAAAAGAAATCGGTCGACAACTTAGTTATCGTAACGTTCTGAATAGACCCCCGGGTATTCGGTGTGATTGTCTGGAACATTTCTCTCTCAGTCTTGTTCTATTTGGGTATGTGAAACAAAAAGACAGACAAAAACGGATTGAAACATAAGAAAGAGAAACGTGTTAAAATCACACTGTATGTTATTTTGATTTTGAAATGTGTCCCTTGATACTGCGGTATCAAGCTTATAGACCATGTTCCCAATGTCCAGATTCGAAATTGAACGAATGTGGAAAACGTGGAGAATCGCATCACGGAATTGAAATAGAGCTGGGCAGGGCACCTGCAAGGAGATGAGATGAGAAACGTAAGACGAGAGAGTAAGGCGAACTGAGTAGCATCCAAGGACTGGGTACAGGAATGCCGGGCGTCCAGCAGCGAAATGGGCAGACAACATCGGAAGCGTCGCGGGGCGAAGCTGGCTGTGACAGCGCAGGACTGTGGGGAGTAGCAAAACTTGGAGGCCTATACCCAGCACTGGATGAAGTCAGGCTGTATATAATGATGAAGATAGATGTCCCACCGTGTAAAAAGCAATAAATCAAAAGTAATCAATTCAAAGCTAACAATAACCCGTTGTTAAGTGCTCTTATCTAACAGCCTCAGCAAACACCTTGTTGAAATTAGGTCTTTCAACGTAGGATAAGTCACGTATGTACGTTTATTACACAATATTGAAACGAATCACTCCAGTAACACAGTTTTCATATGAATCAGTTTTATATAAATACTCCGATAGGTAATCCAGAAATCATTCTCGAGTTGTAACTTGAAGAACATCAACAATGGCAGCTAAAGCTTTTCTCGTTGTGTGCGCTTCTGCGCTTTTCGTTCAGGTATGTTCTTTCACTTAGCTACATTCTTGATTTTTACGTTTGGTAGGGTTTCGAACCTGAATGGGAAAAATACCATCACCTTACTCTTTCTATCTTAAAGCAGAACTGGCATATTTTGGCTTGAGAGAGCCAGTAGAATAACAGGATCCTTAAGAGCTTATATGTCTTTTATCTTTTGTGTAGTAACCACT